CCCATAACTTTTTATGGTAGTGAGACCGCCACGAACTTTTTATAGTACAGTGGTGGGGGAGACCTCCACTTTCAATCCCACCATTATTTAGACATTTACCCATTATTTTTTATATAAGTATTCGTATTTAAAAAGTAAGTAATGAGAGGAAAAGTTATTTTGATAATTGTCTAGGATCTGGTTGTTGTTTGTAGGTTCTGGCGCGTCGCGTTGGCTGCCACTGCAGATAATTTTTGAGGCAATGCAGCACTCAGTCCAGAGGCGACAGTTTCAAAAACCACTTGCTCGGCTGACTGCAAAACGCGAATAATTTTCATGAGTCAAATTGTTGCATCACTTAATTTCGTGACTGCGAAATTGCTTCCAGCTCGTTAACTCAGTCTCCTACAATATTCTAAAAATTCCGTAACAAAGTTCTTTGTTTTCGAGTTCAACGTTTCTTGCTCTTTTCGAATCGTTTTGTTGACAATAACTGGAAAGGGGGAGCGTTGTTTGTCATCCAGATCGCTCCGTTCTTTTTATCTTGTCTTTATCGGGCAATCGCCTGTAGGAGGATGATTCAACGAAACCAATTACAAAAAAAAGATGTGTCTATTCCACAAATGCAAGGGGATGCTTCCCCTTAAGGTTGCTATTTTTGAAGAACTTCCTTCGAGTATTTCTACACGATTAAAAAAATAGGTTGAAGGGCAGAAAGAGAAATTGAGAGCAAAATATTGCCAAAGAAACAATGCGAAAAGAAACATATCGGAGTCGCGATTTTGCGTATAAATGAAAACACCGCATAATGTGAACAGCACAATAATTGTGAGTAAAGCGAAGAGTAATCTAATCTAGGTCTACCTCTACCCATCCTAACTCCTGTTTCTGCCTCTAATATGTCTCTGACTAGACCTTCATGCCTGAGAAGGTGTCCTACTAACCTATCTCGCCTATTTTTTATTGACTTCCATAGAGTCCTCTGTTCTCCTATTCTTTCCAATACCTCTTCATTTCTAACCTTTTCTACCCACGATATCCTCATCATCCGCCTATAACACCACATTTCGAACGCTTCTAACCTTTTCTTATCCGCCGCGCCCACTGTCCATGTTTCACACCCGTACGCCGCCGTGCTCCAAACATACACCTTTAACAACCTTTTTCGAATTTCTAAATTAACCGTTCGCGAGCATAGAAGTGACTTCTTTTTATTAAAGGCGACACGACCCTGCGCTATCCTCTGCTTTATATCCTTACTACTCCTTCCATCCTCACTTATCTGACTTCCTAGGTATCTAAAATCAGCCACTTCTTCTAATTGTTCGTCTCCTAGGTTAGATTACTGTTCACAAATAGTTAAGGATGTGGGAGGTTCTAGTTTTAGGGAAATGCGAAGATTAGCTGAGGATAGGAAAGAGTGGAGGTGCGTATCGAAGCAGTCTTAGGACTGACGACCTTATGATGATGATAGTTTCGCATGTTTGATATCTTAGTCTTGCAAATTTCATCTTAGTTTTAGTCTTGGTCTTCTTTGTAGTCATGTTCTTGTTCGGTAGGTCTTGGTTTTGGTATTGCTAGTATAAAAGCAGTCTTGGTATAGGTATTAGTCTTGCATTTTCGCTAAAGTGAACATTTCGTCGTTGCTAATACACCAGCTTTGTAAATCCCCGATATACTTGGTACTTCCCTAATCTTATTGACTGAAGGCAATTGAGTTACCATGTAAATTTATGGTACCTATTGACAAAATCTTAAATGGTGCTCACTCTGTAAATGGAATCATTACTGTGTTGCTTCAATGTAAAAAGCACAGCACTACTTTCCTTAGTGAAAACATGATTTCATTCTCTAAAACAGTTAACAGTGAAATAGAACATTGCAGGAGGCATTAAATAACCAGCCCGGCGAAAATGTAATAAACTTGTTTCGTAGAAGATTTACGATTTTCCGCTCCTGGGCGAACGTAATACGTAAAACAGTTTGAGTCGCTTACAACACCATGCCTTCCAGTTTTTGCGTAGTAAATTTCGAAATTTAGTGTATGACTATTCATAATGAATTCATTAGGGAGATTCATCTTCTTTCAATAGAGTAAACTAGAGTCCAAACAATATTGTTTTTCGGACGTTGTAAAAGTCTAAAATTATTATTTCGAAAAATTCCAAAAGCTTTTCAAAATTGGAAGATCATTGAATGCGAAATATCCGTTAGAAACACAAGTAGAATGAAGTTATCTTTAGATGACTCAATTTTTAATAGTATTTTTTCAACTATAAAAATTGATTTCTTAAAAGCTATCTACAGAAATAGCGTGACATTTTCAAACTTTAACCTTTCCGTAAACCTACCTAAAATATAAACCGTTGTCACGATGCCATAAAGGTGATTTAACGGAAAATTCGCCATTAGCTGATGTATTAGGTAGCTTTATTGATAAAAAACCATTTTTAATTTTTTCCATTAAAACAGTAAATTATAATTCCATAATGTGCAGTTGTAGGTGGTAGTCAAAGAAGTGTTTTAATAACATTTTTAATCTTAATTGGCGAATAATGTCTTCAGTTTTTTTAAATCAGTTTAAACTTTAGGTCTTATTAGTTGATATTCTTAACTGATTGAAACTTTGAAATGTCATTGGATATTTTGAAAGGTATTAGTTTAAGTACGTCATTTTTACCAACGTTTTCATGAGCCCTCGCAAAAAAACTTTATAAAGTGGATCGAATCTGTCTTCTATTCATTTTATTTCAATGTTATCTAGGAAAAACGGAGCCACAACTCGATAAATATAAGGGCTCTTTTTTATTGAAGGACATTTGTCTAAGAGAATTGCAGATAAAAGCCATAAACATCTTAGGAAATCGAGAAAAACAATCTAGTTACAAAATAAATCCATTATCCTTGAGCATGTTGTCTTGAAATAGACAACCACGCACGGAGAAAAAAATATTGTAATGATAACCATCGGGATATCGCAAAAGCATGCCAAAAATGATTATTGGAGTAAATCCTAATGAAAATATTTATTTATACGAAGACCATAATATAGTAATCTGCCCAGTATCGTGGTTGACTACATTTTTGACTCGTTTTTTTTATATCTCTAAGGTAGCAATTATCATTACTTTTTTCTCCGTGCACTGGGGCCTTGATAATTGTAATCCAATTAGATGCAATACAAATTAGCCAGACGTGTTACAATTGATGCAAAATTAATTTTTATTAACAAAGGACTATAATTATTTGGATGTTTGTGTACTATTAGCTTGGTTATTTTTCTAAGAAATACACCCTACCCAATAATATAAATTGATTTTGTTAGACGTTTTTAACATATTATATGTCATTAGAGGAATTGTAGTCAACCTCTATCCAGATAAGTGCTGTGATTGGATTATAAAATTAGCCAAAACTGTCGGATATTTGCATGTGTATTTTGTAAGTTGCCCTTTCGTTACATATTTTGGGTAAATCTTTAAGATACTACAAAAACTATTTAATGTTAATAGATAATTTAGAAACAAGACGATAAGATTCGGGAATCTTGATATCTATCATCAACCACAATTTGAAATCTCATTATTGAATATTTAGGACGGATCTAGTTGAAATTTATAGAAAACAATTAAAATTAAAATTAGTTAATGTACAGAAATTTATTTTAATGTGCGAAAACGCGATGCATTACATTTTAATTGTTAATGTTGCACATTTGTTAAAATGTCTTCAAATGATAGTCATATTTTGGTGGGGGCGCCGGGAACAAAACTTTTTTACCGTATCCTTTCGAAAAGTAGATTTGTCCTGAGTTAATTCTCAAAAAATTATTGCCAGTTGACAAAGAAATACAAATCTTTTAGCAATTTATTTAAATACCTCCTCAAGAATGTTAACGTGAAATCATTTTCTAGCTCTTTTAATCTTTTGCAGCATCAATCTGTTGTAAGAGTAAAAATGATGCTCTAGAGCAGTGATTCCCAACCGGTGGTTCGCGAACCCCTGGGGGTTCGCAGTGCTTACAGAGGGGGTTCGCGAAAATAATATTGTAATGGCGGATTTTTTAAAACGCCATTAAAACCAAAAGCAAAAAAAAACAAAAACACAAAAATTAAAGAACACACTTACTGTAAAACAGATTGTTCGCTGCCTGTTNATATTTAAAACATTTTATCAATGTGATTCGTATCAATTTATTCCTCCTATTCAAGTAATCAAATACTATTTATTGTCTTTTTATTACAAACATTTATTTATATTTAAAACATTTTATCAATGTGATTCGTATCATGTTCTGCTTTATATTTAAAATCATTGCAGCAATTTTCCCTTTTGTGTAATATTTTTTTTTACAATACAATTGGAAATAAATATCAAATTTACTACATTTACATCATTTTAGTCTTATTAATGTTTTATTTAAATATTTCACGATTCAATTATTATGCAATATGAAAAAGTATATATTCTATCAAATTTTATTGCTTTATTTAACCTGTCATTAACGACTACATAGGGGGTTCGTCAAATTTTTTCGGATCTTTCTTTTGGCTCTCGCAAGGAAAAAAAGGTTGGGAAACACTGACTTANCATAGGGGGTTCGTCAAATTTTTTCGGACTTTTCTTTTGGTTCGCGTGGACAAAAAGATTGGGAAACACTGCTCTAGAGTTTAGATTATATTCCAAAAAAAAAATGAATTCTATTAATTAAATTAAAAGTGAGGATTTTGTATTAAATCTTACTTATTGATAATCTTTGAACATTTATTAATGTGTGGATGATTACAAAGCTGTTTATTTCATCGTCAGTATAATTAAGGAACAAATACTGTAATTTAGTAATAATTCAAAAGTTGAAACAAAATTTAGACAACAACAATAAAATTTCTAATGGGACATTCCTAAGTTATTTTCCATTGGTTATATTTATTAATTAGGTATATTTCAGTCAGTTTAATAGGGTAATATAAGCAAAAAATAAGGGTGTGTTATTGTAAAAACTGAGAATATTATTTGCTTACCTCTGGTAGCTCATCAGGCACCTTGCCCATCCACGTGAGGGAAAGAATTGTACAATCACTTTTCGCATTGGTCGTTCTTTCGAAATGAAGATGCATGTTTTCCAATTTAATCAGTATAGTTGCTTATTTTAAAATGAAAATTGAGTTTTTGAACTATAAAAGCGTTTACCGATTCAGAAATTGCTATTTTTACAGCCTCGATTTGATAAGCTCACAGGTTATAGAAGGATTTTCTTGATTCATTTTCACAAGAATGAAAATCGCTCCTGAATTTAAACTGACAAAAGAAAATTTTACTTTTTGTTATTCAAGTAACAAAAACTTTGTTCACATTTTAATTTTCTAAAACTAAAGTACGTGTTTCTGAAAAGGTCCTCAATGCAAGTACGTTTTCGCATTCACGAACCCACGTCGCAAGTCATATTGATTTTGGTTTTCAGGGTAAGTTTGAGAGACAGTCTGCCGTAGCCTGGTGGTTGAAACAGCGCAGTTTTCACTAGGGGAAATGCGCAATCAGAAGTAGGGAAACTGGCGAGTTCGGCATCTATCGTATTTTCCACTTTCAAAAGATGAAAAAGGAAAAACGAGTTACATTTTCACGTTAATCAATTATAACTTATCTAAAAGTATGGTTGACATTTTATAGGTAACTTATAGGTAATTTCTAATTAATGGCCAAAAGGATATTTAAGAAAGAAATTTAAATCATGTTCGGATTTGATGGTTGCGGTCTAAAATTGATTCAAGGGGTTCATCGATGGTGCCGTTTATTTAACGTTCCGTCAGCTGTTATGGTTGACATCCTCAGGGAACGTAGCAAGAGCGTAAAATGCAAGGTCCTTTGCTATCTCATCTGCAGGACAACAGAAGCAAAGAATATTATCCCTTCGCTAGGTTCCTAGAGAATGCCAGCCACATGAGCTAATAACGAAACGTTGAACCATTGCTGAACTATGAATATCAATCCTTTATATTGATACCCCTTCTGTTTTTAACCATAATCTTTTTTCATATCCAAAGTTTATCGTCTCAAAACTGAATAGTTTGAACGATTAGTTTGATTCCTTATATACAAAATGGACAATAGTAATAATGTCCAAATTGAGAAAAGTCAGAACTATTGATATGAAATCGTAATTATTTCTCATGCTCTGTTATGATTAAAATACTTAAAATTCGATGCAATCCTTGCTAATTTAAATTAAAAACTGAGTATTAGGGAATTTGGTTTATTTGACGACCTTAATTCGTTCTTTTTGTCAAGTTGGGAAAACAAAAACAATCTCGACATAATTAATAATTCAATTCAATCTCTCGATAGGTACTTTTTGATAAAAAAAATTCTAGGTGGTAAACTTCAGTATCTACTGCTCCTTTGTAAACTAATTTTTCTATTTTTCCTTAAAAAACTTTAGAAATATATTGTTGATATTGTTCGCATTTTATGATTTTTTATAAGGATTAATGATCTCCTTTAGAAATATTTCGCCTATTTGATTCAGAAACTTCAATTATTATTTCCTTTAATTTATTACCTATGCATACATTTGATTTACTAGTTAATTAATTTAAACAGGCTTGGAGTATAATATCGCTAATTCCATTCTTTAATTAGTGATTTAGCAAATAAAATCTTTTTTTTTGAATTAAGAGAAAAAGAAAATAATTAAAAGAAACAAACTTTTTAGAACACCTGAACATATAGAGTGAGTTGTCTATTTATTTACCAAGATCAATATGTATATAATAGCAATGCAGAAGTAGTGATTGCGTAGGACTCAGATACATGTATCCTATATCAAATTAAAGGTCTTGGTACTCTACGTTCATTAGGAAAAAGAGTGCGAAGCGACTGGACGCACGGTTCATGTGTGCGTGACCAAAACAAGTGTCATGAGAATACAAAAAAAGGGGTCGAGATCATAACGTCGTAGGTTTCAGATGAAAGATGAATGTATCTATTTGCGCAGAGATTTAAAAAACATGGAAAAAGTTCATTGTGGATGTCCATAACCAAAAGTACAGGAATGTTTTGATTAAAATCATCGAGCAAGATTAGCGTAACGAGGCATTAGGAGATCTTTAGTTGATTCTATTGATATATATTTTTTTATTATTTAAAATAGAAAGGAAAAGCTATGTTGGAACAAAAGTATTTAATATTTACTAAGTTTATTTACATAATTATGAAACAATCATAGAGGTACATTGATAATATTGTAAAAATGATTATTATATCATTGGAAGTCGCTTTCTTTTCGTTTTTCGGCCTCTAGAATGAAATTAGCATATTGTTCTGCCTCATCCATTTTTTTCTTTTTGAGATAAGGTCCCAAAAGCTTTGTATAACCAAAGAATAATGTGCCTGTTATCCCTGCGGCTGCTACCACCAAATAGGCTGGGTTGCCTCCCCGTTTAAAGTAACTCATTTCAACAGTAATTACTGGAATAATTTGTTAACTGTTGTCCTCTGTATTCGTGTTGGCCTGCTTCACTTTTTTGCTATTCAATTCTATGAATATCGGTTTCCAAATGTATATACCTGCTAATACACCTGTAATCACTGCTACAAATATTTGGCCACTGGTTATTCCAAAAGGTTTTCTTATTTTCATCACACTATGCTCCTTTCGATGAGGTATTACATAAGGTTAACCGGTGGGGTCAGTTCTTTTGTCTTTTGGGGGTAATAAGAGAGGTTTAGCAAAATAAAAACCCACGTGTAAGGTTACTGCACAGCCCAATATTAATAGTAACTTATTATACCGGTTTGGAGAACCCAGCATAATAAATTTATTCGTTTATATTTTTATTTACTCCTATCATAACCTTAATTGTCAAGATACTCTTCGTTGTGTCTGGACAGTATTTTTCGGTATTTTTCATGTGTTTCAATAGCATCCCACGTAAACAATTATTTTATTTACTCAATATTTTATCTGTAACTACGTCCCTTATCATTATTTTATTTAGATTGTTATTTATGTTTGCTGGTTCTTCCTCCTGGTCACGGCCATTTTTATTGCTCCACTATGACGTAGCGTCGGCCATCATTCTTTTCTAATTGTTGTAGTTGTCGGCCATCATTCTTTTCTAATTGTTGCAGTTGTCGGCCATCATTCTTTTCTAATTGTTGCAGTTGTCGGCCATCATTCTTTTCAATTGTTGCAGTTGTCGGCCATCATTCTTTTTCAATTGTTGCAGTTGTCGGCCATCATTCTTTTTCAATTGTTGTCGCATTGTCACCAATGTCGGCCATCATGGTTTTTTAATAGATGAATAGTAATCAATGATTAAAATTTAAAGGAATAGTTTGTAAATATGTATGCAACACATCGTACACTTTGCTACTTTGCTCTATGCTGACAGCACTCATATTTTTTTTATATATAATATTCAGGTAAAAGAGATATGTTTGGATAATATTATACAATATAATTTAATTAGGCATTTTTTCTTTTCGTTTAATAATTTCAAAAGATGTAATATACAAACTGGAATAACAAGCTTTAGTACAGTATTTTATGTTATTATTTAGTGGAAAATGCAATTCTAGGATCAGACTTAAGAACTGTCATCACTGTTATAGTTGCTTGGATCAAAATCAGGATCATCCTCATCATCTTCATCATTAATGTCCAAATCATCCAAATCTTGAAATAATGACTCATCAACCTTAACTTCTTCACCTGTTAATTACAAAAAATTGAAGTAGTGCTTAATTATGATACAATTATTTCATTAATGTACCTTCTAAGAATTTAAGGTCTGATTCATTTAATGTTTTGTCTGTAATGAACAATTCTCTTCCAGTAAGTTTGCCAATCTTTTTACTCATTTCTCTTTTCTTATCTATTTGCAGTTCTTCTTCAAATGCTTGTTTCCACTTTAAAAATGATTCTACAGTAACTCTTGTACCTTCAAACTTTTTCTGCAAGACAATAATACTGAATAATCTAATAAGTTATTTTGTTGGTTGTTGAATACCCTTTCAGCTTCTTCCTTTTCTTTTTCTCTAATTAACTGTTCTTCTTGCTGCTGTTTCTTAATAGCATCCCACTGTACATTCAACCATTCTTGGGCAGCAGATACTAGACTAAAAATCATTACCATTCCTAAATTTTCTTCTGCCTAAAAGTAAATATTGTTTAGTTTATGAAATCAAGTGCTTAACTTTTATTTCAAGTACCTGTTTCTTGAGAAAATCTAAGAGTTCATTTTCATTTTTCTCACTTAAATTTACAACATCATCTAACTCAATTAGGGGTGGTTTATCAGGATATTTGTCTACAAAGGTAAAAATTATCGAACATGACAGTCCATTCTGCTCTTCTGCATTGTATTCTTCCGATTTTATCTCTATTGAAAACTTGTAAAATGGCTCTGAAGATATTACTACAAACACAACATTACACTACTTGACCTTAATCTGAAAGATTCTGCAAGTACTTTTTAAGTCTCCATAATATATTGATTCTAGGGCTTCTATTTCTCCATGTTGTTCTTCTTTGTAATCCATTTAGTATAAAAAAACATTAAAATACTTTTTCGCCTTATTATCACATGTAGAACTTAACCTTCGAACCAAAACACAGCCGGGTAGTTGTCAAATCTAAACAACCATAGAAACACCCAAATAATAGAAAGATGAATGAGTGGGATTTATGAGGTGCGTTCATACATGAAAGCTACAGTCAGTTAATAATAAGTTTACTCAGTATGACATCATGATCAAAATGGTGTTTATTTAAAGATTTTTACGTTTTATATAATCTTCAAGTACCTACTTACGATTTTTCACGGAGGAGTTTAAGAATTACAAGATTAAATAAATAATTCCGCAAGAGTACAGGGCTTTTCAACAAATTATAAATGTCTCTTGATAACACTTAGTTAGTTATCAGATTACTTTTATTACATTAAAGACAATTTCCATATTATTACAAATAATGATTTAAAAGTTTTAATATTATATAGCACCACTTATTTCTAACAAAAGCATTAAAGTTTCGCTGGCAAAAACACCAGCATTCGTCGCAATAGTAATTCCTGCAAAAAATTTAGTAGATAAATAATATTGAATTTCAAAATACAAGCCGGGTTCGAGCAGCTGCGAATCAGCGGCCTCGACTAGGTCATTAATTTGCCACCATGACTTTAAAATGTAGTAGGCCATAAAGCTCAAGTGAATAGTTATTATCATATTAACTCCCAGCTAAAACAGAGATGATATTCATATAATTAGTGTATTTTAATTAATTGGAAATGTTTTATTAATTGAAATTACCACTTGGGCTCTTAAATTGTTCACGTTAATTTGAAAAATTAACGATAGCAAGGGGTACGCTATGGTGAATCCAACGAACACGTAACTCATCAAATCTTGATAGGTATCTTCTGTAGGATTTTTTCCTGACAATAGTGCGAGTAATGTAATGGTAATAAGAACCTATGGAATAAAATTAATTTTACGATTGTTATATTAGATAATTTAATTTTAATTTAGAGTGCGAAAACAAAATATTCTAAAGTTGAATTGACCGCTACATGTTTTGCATTTTCGATTTATAAAAAGTAGTTATTTTGGATTTAAGTTAAAGTCAGAGTGAAAATAAAATATGATGACCAAAATATTATAAACAAGTTATTATAGTACTTATCAGTTAATTACCAGTTCAACAGCCTTGATGTTTCTATATTTATTTGACTTTATTCCCCTCCTCGATCTAACCATTTCATCGGGATTCGGCAATACAAACATTTGACTTTTATTTATAGGAGACGCCATGGTGGTTGTGAAGCTAATAAATAATAATAACAGAGGAACACATGTAGATGCATTGATAAATAATGTAATACATTACATTACCTCATGTTTTGAATGTCTTTTTGGGATTTTTTCTCGTTGAACATCATGAGATAGGCAAACAGCTATGGTATGACTACCTTTCTTGCGATAACTTTATCTTATCAGCAATTTAATGTTGTTATCAGACTTGATATATCCCTGAGGAGGGCAAAAAATGAGATTTCATTGGTTTAGAAAGTAATTAAATATTCTCGTACCAATTCCGGATTGTTTTTGCACGAACATACTCGTACAAAGATTCAAAACTTTTAGTTATTTTATTAATTAGTAGTTGATTTTCAATGCAAAATTTGTAATAATCGATTGTATCATTTATTGCCATTTATGCCAAACTAGAGAATTCATGAAAATAGACAAATGTTATCAGTAAGTATTTATTAAAAAAATTTACTGAAAATTTTGGCGGAGGCGCCAGGACAATTTAAAACAAAAGGTACAATAAAGCTATAATTCCGGTTTCACTGAAGTGTATTCATGAATTTTCATCTTTAAATTATATTTTATTATGCAAAAGCCTTTAGGGAGGTTAATTTATATACTACAATTTGCAATGTAATATATAGATAACTCAACATACAAACTCTAAAAATGTAACCACAACGAAAATTACAAAGCGATTTTTCTCAAAGAAATTAACTATTATACTCAATATTATTCTCGAAAAAATCATCAAATAGTACGTAGAAATTGATTAGTAGGTACTAATTTTTATGACACTGTATTGGCTGAAAAGCTTTATAAATTTTTATTTGGAGTTACTAAAAAGTATTTAGTCAGTAATTATGAATATTTAGGTAATTTTTATTGCAAACTATCATTTTCATATCGACAATTGGAGAAATTAGAAATTTCGAAATCCTTTGAAAGCTCAGGCTAGAGACTAATGCAAGCTCAAAATTTTCTAGGACACCAGGTTGCCAAAACTTTTTCTTTAAATTACAAAGTTGACTTTCGATATGTTATACTTATTAGATAAACCAATGCAACCCATGGAATAACACGAAAACCCCTTCCCTTCTATCAAACTTCTAACGATCACTCCAGATTTTCCGGAATAATACAGAAACTATTACGAAAGACTCACACATGACGCATGGGAAGTTACGCTAATTGTTCCAAATGTCTCGCACCCATCCGCGCCTCTCTTTTTGGGTATGGTTACTACCACGTTCCGTTTAAAATCGTCCGGGACTTTCCCGTCTCGTAAATGTGACTAGCTAGTTTAAACATACGATCTTTAACCTCTTGCAATGCATGTTTTATATTTTCCGCTTGTTAAAGCTTAAACGAAATTTATTTTATAATTTTGAAAAATTACATAAATATGCACTTTAAATCGTCTACAATAAGTATTACAGAGAAGTTTTCATTTGGATGTAACAGAAATTTCGAAAGATTTTTTGTATTTTCCAAACGATTTAGCCTCTTCTAAAGTATCGGGGCTGTTATGGCGGGTTTCGGGCAGGAGTAGTCCACATACTGAGCCCAGTGCACCTAGGCCAGCAATGATAATATAGGGATATCTTTCATCGACCGATGTACCCTAGATCGATAAAAAAAATAAATTGTGAGTAAAGCATGATTAAAAAGAAAAATACAACGTGTAATTATACAACACGCTACTGAAGTGAAATTTCTTCAAACACACGAACATGCCGGGATAGGGGTTAAGGAATTGCTTTAACGGTATGATTTGTGCACTATGAATTTAAAGTTGCATGCAGGAGTTGCCTGTAACGAACGTTGCATTGAAGCGCGCTCACGGCTCAAGCGATCCCCACTACGTGGCCGAGTAGAGGGCTTGACATCCGTTGCATGATTTCGTTACATAGCAACTCGCATGAAACGAACTTACCCTACCGTGCGTAAAGAAGTTTCATTTAAAAAAAAAATAAATTACCAGGTGAACCACATACGGTGCTAAAGTAGCTAAAGCTGATGCTGACAAACCACCTACAGCAATTCCCGTCTGTCGTAGACATGTAGGGTACATTTCGACACTTTGCAGACCAACCACGTAATATGAAAGCATGATTGCAAACTTAAGGAAAACCACACACGTTATGAGAATCCATTCCGAACTTGAACCTTAAAAAATATTTGACACCTACGCTGGTTATAGGTACACTTATATTAGAAATGCGGATGCGGAAATGTAATCTACCATATTTTCATTATTATCATTGATTACTGTTAAATAATTTAAAAAATATACCCTTGACGATGAACAGTATGGGAATGCAGCCCAAAACCGTTGCAATAAAAGAGCCAACATTTGTCAATTTCCGGCCGATTCTATCTGAGAAATGCCTTCCTAATACGATAGCCGGTAGTTCAATGGCTCCCTGGTAAACGAAATTTAGAAACGGATTCCCTTCCACGTTGCTTATGTTCAGTGTCATAATGAGATACGTTGTAAAGGACACGACCCTGTCAAAATCGATCAAAAAGCAGGTTGCAAATAATAATAGTCGGACCATTTACCAGCAGATTACTAAACACGTTGTGTTTTTTGCCATTCTCCAACTAGAAAATAAACTCATGGCGCCGTACGTTGTCTCTTTGGTTGCAGGAGTTGATCTCAAAATGTAAGCTGCGTCTTCAGGGATTGTTGATCCGTTTATTTTTGCAATTGTTTTTATGGCTTTGAGACTTTTCGTGGATTTTCCTTTGCTCATTAGCCAGCGGGGAGATTCAATGATGTATCTGAAACGGACGGGGATGATTCGGATTGCGGAAAAATCTTTATTATGTATTCAACAATTTTTTACCTATAAGGTATAAAAAACAATAAACATGGTAAACTTGACATGACCATAAACGGTTTCCAATGACCTATTAGCCACATGAAAGGTGGCAAGATGCATAATCCTACGGTTCTTCCCACATTTTGCAACATTGCAATGTAAGCTTTATCTTTCTCCCGTGAAATTTCCATTCCAATAACTAAAGGTGCCTGATAAGCTGTGTATGATGTGAATCCGGCTGTGAAAGCAGCCACAAGGAAGAGAGGATAGTATGTTGATGTGACAGTAAACACTAAATTTCCTATTACTACCAATAGTACTGATACCACGAAAATGGGTTTTCTTCCAATTCTGGAAAATGAAAATCAGTCTTAGATACAATATCAAAGATATTTCAAAAGATTTGATGCATATGCTTTTTGTTAATTTGCTTCCGGAAATTTTTAAGGAAATGTAAAATACTAATTATTTGTTTATAATTATCTCACACATCTCCTAATTGTCCGCATATAAATGTGCCCAGCACGTCTGCTATTCTCATCACCGCAAAAGTATTGGATACCTTTAAAGACTCTGAGCAAACCCAATTTTCAGATGATGGAATTGTTTCTTGAAACCACGTTTTATCATATTCCCATCCATAACGACAGTCTACAATAGTTTCTTTTGTTTAATTTCAATTGTTCTTTTTTTTTCTTTTTATTTTTCAATTAATCTTGTTTTTACCTGTTATATTAGAGAAATATTTGAGATCTTTGCTATCCTGGTTACTAACGTTATAACCGTACATGCTGCATTTGTGATAAATGGTTTTTGTTCTACCATTTATTTCACTAATTAATAAAAATCACTTCGTTAATATATTTACTAGCGTTTCAATTTCTAATTTTGAATTTAAGATAATAAATTTTCATACTTTTGGCTTTAATTACCTGATGGGAATATTCACCCTTCTCCATTCTTCTTTGGTATAATTTGTTAAATTTTGTCCTGGAACTTTACACCAATGGTCAGGAACAGACATAGCTATAACTATGTTTATGTTAGCCATCGAAATGCAGACAACCAAGGCGAAATTAAAAATCAAATTAAAACGCTTTTGAAACGTCCCATTTTTACCAACCAACTCCATTAAATCGTCAAATGATTGAATTGAATTTTCGGTTTGGCCCATTTTTGTGCTGCTAATGAAATTTAATTTAGACAGGCACTTGTTGAAAAAAAAAACATTTTTAGCAGATTTTTAAAGTTAAAGTTAACATACTTTTGAAAAAAAATTTAGTCTTAAATTAATGCGTTATTTGAGGGACTTTACGTCAAAGATATACAGTCGAATTTCTGTTTTACGAAAATTTCTATTTAGCGAACTTTTCTCGGAAATTCCGCTGCTAGCATATTTTCCCATGTCATATTACTTCTATTTTACATATGTATGTAGTTGAAGTTACGTGTTGTGCATGTATTTTCTTTTCCTTGAAATTATCAGCTTCATTATGTAGAAGTTCGACAGTACTTACGATTTTGAATACAAAATTATGACTTTCAAAAGACATCACACGAATTTAGGGTGTAATTTCTTCAACCCTAAATATGTACATGAACTTCTAAGCATAAAAGAATACTATTAAATACTTACTTCTTCAACAGCTTCTTGACTAATATACATATATATTTATAATTGGAGGAAACAGTTACTTATCAATTTCAAGACAAATTTTCTTATTGTATCAACAACTAGCTCAATAAATGAGCTTCTTTACGTTTTATTTTTTCTCGCCGCAAATTATTTGTATTTTTTCGAGTCTGTTTTAAGTATGATGGGTATATTAATTTATATTTTGAAGCGTGCTTTAAGGGTTTAAGACTTTTAAACAACCATCGGGTTGAATTCCACCCCTATCGAATGCGAGTGCGTTAAACTTCTGGGTGGGGGTACCGTACTTTCTCCCCGAGTCCTGTACCTATACGTTTTTCCTTCCAACCAACCTTCCAAGTAAGAAATTGCATCCACTTTTTAGATATTAAGAAATTATTTTAACATCCTCCGTGTGTGAATTGACACTCGAGCCCAAGGTGCTAGTATAAAGTCGTTTCCTGAGAGGGGATGTTACGGTTTCGTCCCTGAAAGCAGGAAAAATATCGTACTTTTAGTAGAAGTATATGGTAAAAGATGTTCCAAATGTTCACAATGTTATGGACTAGTGCGACAAAGAAATCTATAATTTTTATGTTGGTCAACTTTTTGCCTTACCTGTATAGCATTTTCCATGGTGAAAAGTATCACAAAAATGGTTTTTAATAAAATCGACGAATACGAAGCGTTTTGTGATTTCTATTTTAATCTTTTAAATAATATTAATTTATTTCT